AAAAAAAAAAAAAAAAAAATTCTGTTCTCTTACCCAAATTCTCAGATTGCTTTGGGCAGTAGGCTCAAGAGGCTGGGCTGCCAAGCAGGGGGGTGGGGGGTACTGCTGGTGTTATAACCACCTGTGAAACCTTCCTCTAATTCTCTGGTGCCAGGAGTGTTCTGAAGTTCAGATGTTTTCAGTTTTGCAAAGGATAATATGATGCCTGTACCCTATCTCATATAATATACCTATGAGGGTCTGAAGAAGCGCCAGTATTCAAAAACATTAAAATTTCCACAGTGAAATGCATAAAGATTCACCCTCCATGGAATAAAGAGCATCGTGAGACCCTGGTTCAGATTAAGTTTTGCCACATAATGAGCTATGAAACTACTCCAGTGTTCAATGTTTTTTGGATTCAGATCTGCTCACAAGGGCCTGCAGACTGGGCCACCTTTTACTCAAAGCCTATACACTCAAGTGCATGTCACCTCACTGGTTATAAATATATCAGTGCTTGGACCATTCAAAGGGGGTTCTTACCAGAGTCTTTCCATTTAATAGATTTGATAAAACATATATATTTTTTAAAGATACAGGTGATCGGGCAGCATAACCAAACTTGAACATAAATCTACAGACTGACATGAGTGGCAGACAAGTCCCTGTGCAGACAGACTGTTACGTTGGTTAAACTACCCAGTCGCCAGAACGTGACGTGGCTCCCCTGCTCCGACATGGGCAACCGAGTGCTGAAGAAGACGAGCCGGGAGGGGGAGCTGGGGTCGGCCGTAGGGGGACCGTAGGGGGACCGTAGCGGGAAGCTGGGGTCGGCCGTAGGGGGACCGTAGGGGGAAGCTGGGGTCGGCCGTAGGGGGACCGTAGGGGGAAGCTGGGGTCGGCCGTAGGGACGGCAGCTTTCACTGCTCCCTGCTTGTCTGAGCCAGAGTCACCCAATTCCCAGGAGCGCTCATTAGGATTCAGAGCATCAAACAAAAACTTTGAGCGAAGAAAGCCAAAGCCATGCGAATGCATAATTTATAAAGGCAGAAACTGGAGCATATAGCAAAGAGAGCAGCACTACTTAGAGGAAAGGGGGCGGGAGAGCAGGCTGTGTGCTGCCAAGCAGAGAGAGAGGAGGGACAAGGAGCCCACAAGGAGCCCAGCCAGGAGCACATCAAACCGAGTTTCTGCATCCAAGTGTCCCTAACAGAAATGAGATCCGCTGGGCTGTGTTAGCTCGGGAGTCACCCTACTATCACACTCCTTTGTTCATTGCAAAGGGCGCTGGGACCGAGGGAAGAGGCTCTTGAATTCAGAGCTCAGCTTGTTTCCTCAAATCAAACACCTAGATTAAGGTTTAAGTACTCTTTTTTTTTTTTA